AACGAATATGTTCAAACAAACTTCACCCACATTGCCTAATGGACACAGAGGCTCAGAGGGAGGCCAAGAGTTTTGTTTACCTTTGTCTAATACCTGCCACAAGACGCAAGATCACAAGTGGGACTTCAGATGGCCTAACAAAAACCACAGGCTCTCCTCCCCTGAAGCAGCTAAGGCAGATCCACGGGAGGCAAAACCCCAGGACTACCCACCCCGAAACAACTCAATAAATGTGTTCCTATCTCCCTGGCCTGCAGGACTGCCATGAAAAGAGGAAGCCGCTGAACATTAGCCTCCTTTTCAAAGGTTTGGTCAAGGCATAGCGTTCTATCCTCGCAATATTCATCTGAGTACAGGAGAAATTTGATTAAGTTCGCATTTAAAGGTGAACCTAACAAACTCACACTTCCCCAAAACAAGATGTGAACTGAGGGACAGTCATCCTTCAGAATTTCACACTGTTCTAAATTCCATAATGCAGCTCTTAAAGCAGCCTGCCTGTGTTTGAAAGTTATTGGAATCCGTCTGTGTTCGAAAGCTATTATTTAATGGCTCACTCTTCCCTTTCTGTGCAGGACCCATAGTGACATTTCCTTTAAGGACAAAGGCTCAGAAAGAATCTACAAGTATGAGCACAATGCACTGCCTGGCTAGATCACACCACTTCCACCAAGCCCAGTGTTCTGTTTCCAGTGATGGACAGCCAGAATGCTTTGGCAGCTCACAGGGCAGGAAGGACGGTTACAGCCACCCTGTTGTCATCCACAAGTGCCTGATACTTCACCTTTGAATGTGAAGATCCAATTTAGTTTCATGGTGAAGAGCAGGGATCTGCAAACTTTTTCAGCAGGGGGCTGGTCCACTGCCCCTCAGACCTTGTGGGGGGTCGGACTATATTTTTTGGGGGGGGGAAATATGAACGAATTCCTATGCCCCACAAATAACCCAGAGATGCATTTTAAATAAAAGGACACATTCTACTCATGTAAAAACACGCTGATTCCCGGACTGTCTGCAGGCCGGATTTAGAAGGCAATTTAGAAACCAATTGAGCCTTCAGTAAATCTGTCTTCCAGGAGAATGTCTAATCCATGGGTAGGCAAACTAAGACCCAGGGGTCGAATCCAGCCCAATCGCCTTCCAAGTCCAACCCCCTGCAACGAAAGAACGTTCAAAGCTGACTCCTTCTCACTCCTGTTGCTGCTTGTTTGCTAGGAGAGGACTGTTTGGACACAGCAAAGAGGCTGAGCAGCCGCCTGAAAGCCTCAGGAACAGTGTTGAAGCCATAGTTTATCCGTTATCTCTGAATCGGGTCAATGGCATTATGGTGTATTGTATATTATTGGATGCGGGGAGGATTGCTGTGTGGTCTAGCCCTCTCAGGAGTATCTCAGCCGCCTTCCCTGTAGGCTCAGTGGTCAATTGAAGAATTCAGCAGGGAACACATAGCCTTGTTAGTTTCTGTTCCACGGGTACAGTCCAAAGGCCTGTGAAATAAGCTATGAAATGCAGAAAATAACTAACATCGCAAAGGATGAGGTATTCGTTTGTCTTCCATCAGCAGTGGAGCTGCCTGCAACCAAGGGATGTTTAAGTGCCAGTGGAAATGATGGAGGAAGAGGATGAAGGAGTCAGCCCTGACAGAAGACTTGGGAGATTATAAGAAAACCAGGGCAAGGAATTCTCTCGCTGCGATTCCTGCACTGCGGAGGGTTGGACTAGATGACCCTCGCGGTCCCTTCCAACTCTATCTATGGAATGGGGAACCTGTGGACCTCCAGCTATTGTTGGAGCACAACTCCCATCATCTCTGACTGCCAGCTACATTGGCAGGAGCTGATGGGTGTAGAGGGTCCAATGAGATTTTTTTGGGGGGGGGTCCCCCAGATTCCCCCTTGAGATAAGGGACAAGTCTGCCCAACTCTCATTTCAATGCAAACCTAGTTCTGAATTAACGCTTCCCAAAACAAACCGAAACGCAGGTACATTTCAAACTTCCTCTGAATTTTGCAATGTGGTTTTCCAAAAAACCCAAGCCTTCAAAAACCATATATATGTGGGGAAAGGGTAGATTTAAAAAAAATAAAATGCATATGTTCATGGAAAGCAACATGCAAAAGTGCATTGTTAAGGGAAATTGCTGGCAAAAAAAAAAAATATTTACATCAGGCAAAAATGCACACACAAAATGTCTTCCTTAGGAGGAATGCACACAAATTCACACTAGTGAATTTCTGCGAGGGTTTTCAAATCACAAGCTGATGCAAACTGAACATAAGATTTGGGGGAAATGATGAAATGGAATTAATAGGCTTATCCACCACTAAGCGAGTCTGATTTAAAGGCAGCAGCAAATCTCCAACAAGCAAGCTCTGACAAGGTAGCTGAGGCCCGCTTCTTTGAGCGTGTGTTTGCCTGACACATTCAGCACTACAGCAATGGATGAAAGGGGGTACAAGGAACTTGTACCTTTAATAATTCTGTAGGAGAAGGGCTGTCTACGTGTTCAACGTGCCTTCACCCCGTGTGGCAACGGGGATCGCCAGCTTAGAGGTCCGTCCCCCCCCCCTCTGGCCAATACATTTGAAGTGTACGGTTTTCAATAGCTGGCATCTTTCCTGAGAAATTTCCAAATACCCCCATGTCTTCTGATGCGGGAAATCAATAGGCACACATTTCTTGTCGGTGCCTGAATGACCGCGAGGTGCAAACACTCTCTCTAGCCTTCTCATTAGATGTGCAAGATAGTTGGCAAAAAAAATATGTCGCCTTCGCGCAGCAAATCTTCCACCTTTTGCAAACGTGCGGGATTTTGAACTGCACAGGATAAAAGATAAAATAGATCATGCCTGGCCACTCACAGGACCCAGCTAATCATTCTGAAAAGTTTTAAGGCTGCGACTCCACACACACTTACCTACCTAGCAGCAAGAGCCCATAGAAACAAGGAGATTTACTGCCGAATAAACCCGTGTTGAATTGGGCTTTCGGTGACTCTCAAACTTACTGTTTTCTCTTCTCGCTCCCTTCCCACCCCCCCTCAAATGAGCCCCCATTTGTTTTAGCCATTAAAATGCAGGGATTTCAATGAAAATGGAATTCTGATTGAAAAACCCATTCATCTGATTCATTTCTCTTCCAATTTCTTTTCATTAATATGTAGCTCATAGACTTGGATGCGACTTTATTCAAAAAGAAGGCTGCGGATCCTGTTGAGAAGCAATCAGACGCATCTCTTCCCTGGAGAAATAAACATTGGCTTACCCAGAAAAAATATATATATTACAAGAATGGTAGCACCACCTTTGGGTATTTTGAGCACCAGCCGCAGAGCAGGGCTGGGTGAAATGTCAGATACCAGGTGCACCCGAAAAACACCAGACGCTGGGATTGGTTAAGGAGCAAAGGAAGGATTTCTGAAAACACATAATTAAGTGATGGAACGCCTTGTCACAAGGTGCAGCGATAGCCATTAGGTGAGATGGCTTTGGAAAAAAACAGACAAAAGTCCTGGGGCAACAGGGTTCTGCCTTCATTTTGGTGAGGATGGCGAAAGGTGCTATTGATTCGTGAATTTGAAACATTTCCTACGTGCTCTTCGTTGCACAGCAATTTCAGAGCAGGTTACAACTCAAACACTCTCAAATTCGCAACGCAGGTGCTAAAATCAGCAGCAGCTCATCTAACAACGACAATACTGGCATCATATGTTACTGGAAGACAGGTGCCCAAGACTTAAAAGAGCAGGTGCCACAGGGTCTCCTCTGCTAGGTCACAGAGGGTAGGGAGTTCTAAAGCTGGGGTGCCACCACTGAGAAGGCCGCCTCTCATGTTGCCATTTAGCAGACTGCAGCCAAAGATGGTGTAATCCAAAAGAAAAACTCACTGGCATAGCCCAGTACACTAACCAGTGGGGGCTGCTGCTCATTGGGACTCATAGGGACCTCCACTGGTTCAAAAGCTACACTGTATGGGGCTTTGTAAGTCAGTATGGATGGTACTTGCAGGCTCAAAGAGGATGAACCTCCAAATGCCACATGGTCAGAGGACAGAATAACACAGGAAGCTGCCTCAGGCCATCTCAGGCCAATGGTCCATCTCAATCTCCAGGGCTTCAAGCAGGAACCTTTCCCAGCCTGACGTGGAGATGCTGGAATTGAACGTGGGAATTTTTGCATGCACAGCAAACGCTCTACCACTGAGATACGGACATTCCCTGGTAGATGCCCATCGTCTGAATACCAAGCTTGTTTTCTCAAGCTCTGGAGGGTAGGACTTCAGCCAATGGCTTCAAGTTACAAGGAAGGAGATTCCGACTGAACATCAGAAAAAACTTTATGGCTGTAAGAGCTGTTCAGCAGTGGAACGAACACCATAGGGAGGTGGGGGACTCTCCTTCCTTGGGGGTTTTCGAGGAGAAGTTGGGTGGCCATCTGTCATGGATGCTTTAGCTGAGATTCCTGCATTGCAGGGGGTTGGACTAGCTGGCCCTCGGGGTCCCTTCCAATTCTATGATTCCCGGAACCTCATGGTGAAGGTTGGGTAAGAAATGTAATAATCAATAGCAATGTCCATCATCGTATGATGGCCGAGGGAGATCTTTGGTCAGGCCCAGCAAGATAATTCATTTGTTCTTTTAAGTTCTCCGGTTTCAGGCTTCTAGCTACCCTGGTAACCAGGTTTTTTGCGCACACACACGCCTGAGAAAGCCTTGATTCCACCCCCAAACCATCAAATACCCCAAACCAGGGAAGAGAGTCCTTGAGCATACACATGTGCATAGGGGAACCTCTGGCTCTCCAGATGTTTCTAGCTCCAGTTTCCATTATCCCTAGCCAGCACGGCCAATGGCCAGGGAGAAGGGGAGTTTTAGTAGTCCTGCCACATCTGGAGGGCCACAGGTTGCCCCAGCCCTGGTAGACAACATCACACCACAAATGGACACAGGTGCCAAGCTCCCTTAGAAGCCAAACAGCCCCAGGAGAAGCTCAGTGACTCACCCAGCCTTCGAAGCTGTCCGAGGACCCGGTGCCGTGCAGGAGGTCATGGAAGTACACGGTGCAATTGGCCACAAAGTCATCGTAGCCAATGGGGGTGCCATGGAAGACGGCCAGTTCCAGCTGCCGCCCGTCGTTGACCGGGGCGCAGAACTCCTCATTGTAGGTCGGCGTGTTGGTCTTCTGCTTTGTGCTGGTCTGACCCACCCTCACCTGGTCGACGCTCAGCGTGATGTAGGGGTCCAGGAGCTGCTGCCCCTTCTTGAAGAGCGTGTGCCTGAGGGACCAGCGGGTGGGCTGCAGCCCCACAGCCTCCCCGATGCGCACCTTCATGTAGCCGTTGAACTTCATGGCTCCGGACGGGGGGGAAACAGAGGGATGCGTCCTCTTCGGAGAAGTAAGGTGCTGTCCTACTGAGTCTGTGGTAGCCAGGAGAGTAGCTTGGCAGTCCTCAGGGGACAGGGCAGCCTGTGGTGGCAGCTCCTGGTCTCTGGGCCATGCTGTCGAGGGCGCAGACCCAAACCCAGCCCTTTGCCCCCCTGCCTTCCCTTTCCAGGAAGGAAGGAGACGAACCAAGTTGCTGAATCACTTCTCTTCTTCACAGCGGAGAGGAGCTAATTCCTTTACCTCCTTTGGGAGATAACAGAGCATGGAAACACACACACACACAGAGAGAGAGAGAGAGAGAGAGAGAGAGAGAGAGAGAGAGAGAGAAACGAAGCAGCTTTCCAGAGCCCTGCCGTCTGGTGCCAAACACCCCAGCGCTCCCGGCTATGTGCACATCAGCCACCGAACACCCTTAGCTGTTCTTGGTTCTCACAGACAAACCGCTTCAGTTTCCCCCCTCCCTTTAGTTCAGGAAGAAACTGCAGCAGAGTGAGAGGGGGGGGACCTCTCTTTCTCCCCCTTTCCTGAGCTGCTCACCCAAACCACAAGCCACAAATCCACAGATAAGAGAGAGCAGGCTTTCAGTTCGGCAGAATCTTCCTCTCTCTCTGCTCAGGATTTGCTTGCTTCCTTCTCCTGCCTGGGTGGTTTGAGAAGAGCTTCTCCTCCTCCTGAGAGACACAGAGAGAGAACAACCCAGCGCAAGTGGTTGTTGAGCAAGGGAAACACCTGAGAGATGTGACTAGCCCACGAGAAGGGAAGGCCAAGGGGTGGGGCTTCCAGCTAGCCTTGCAAGGACTTGCCCCAGTGGCGGCGGCTGCTGTGTGTAGCTCTAACCTGTTCTTCAGAACTACAGCTGTCATTTTATCACAAGCACACACTCTCCAAACCCTATAGTGCACAGAGCTCTCTTTCTCGCCCCCTCCTGGCTCCTTTGCTGGGAAAGGTCTTCGGCCAATTCCTGCACCTTCAGATTCCTCCAGGAAGGCGTGTCTCCAAAGCCACTTATTTGAATCTCTGTTGGCAACTTCGCTCCCTCCCTCTTTCTCGGAGGAGGAGCCACAGCTGGAATATCCACTTCTTCTTCTTCTTCTTCACATCCCCCAGCAAAATTAACTTCTTGTCTCAGAGGACAGGAGCAGCCGGAAAAGAAGGGTGAAATTTCTTCTCAACTTCTTTGCATCTCAACCCACGTGGAGGCGCATCTTGCTTTGCATTTTTAAAAAATAAAATAAAATAGCTTTCTTTATTCCCTCCCCCCTTTTTTAAAAGCATATTTTTATTGGGTTTTATAAATTTACGAAGCTCAACAGGAAAACAATAAGTAAGGCATCATAAGAAATAAGAAACATCCCATATTCATTCCTACTCAAGTCAGTTAAAAATTAAATTTTGTTTCATTATGCAGCTTGGAGTTATCAGGAGGGTGGAGTGTGGTTTGTCCATCGTAGTGGACACACCATCAACCTGTCGCAGCGATGCTAATTTGATGTTCGTGTGTCGATGTTATGATAGCCATATCTGTTGTCGAATGGATAACTTTTTTTTAAAAATCATATTTATTAAAATTTCCAAAATACAGAAAGTAAAAATAAAACAAAAATAAAATACATTTGAAACCTTACTTTCATTACCCACTTTCTGGGACTCCCCCCTCCCCCATCCCTACCATATTCCCCTTTCATAACGTTGGTTCTACAAGCTCTCACTCCCAATTTAAAATTTAATTTGTTTAACCCAATGTTCAAATTTAAATTTATACAGTCATCATCATTACCTTAAATAAAAGTCAAAGATTCTCTCCCCAAGGTCCACCCCATTTTCCTTCCACGAATTCCCTTTTTTTTTTAATAAAGACGCCCCAACAAAGTATAAAGATATAAAAGATAACAAATATATAAAAAGAAAAATTCAGCAAATAGTTACACAGCCTTTGGATTCTAAATCTCCCGCCCCCCTTCCCCGGTTTAAATTCCCCATGTCCATCAGTCTATCTGTTGTCTGCCTGGAGATCTTAGATCCATAATCAGATTTTCCCCCAGTTCCTTGCCAGTTTTTTTTTTTAAAGTTATTTTTATGGTATTTAACTTCAAATCTCCAATCCAAAAACGGCCCCTAAGGGCCTTTAGTTTCCTTGGTCTTTAAGGCTCCCCCCATTGTTCTTTCCATGTTGTAGTCCAGTTTCTTGTCTTGTTCCTCTGCTAAAACGTTCTAATTCAGAAATTTAGTAGCTCTACAGGGGTTGTTGTTATTCAGGAACAAAAACTTACGTTCAGTCCCTTCCTTTCTTCAATAGAAAATTCTATTGTCTCCTTTAATATAAACACCCCTGTAGACAAAATACTATTTCAGTTTTGCAGCTTTCCCAGGAGATAACAAGTCCTGTACAATTCCAAGAGTATTTTTCCACTTACGACCATCTTTGTAATGTCCCGAAACCCCTCTAGGGGGATTGTGGTAACTTTGTTTCCTCTGATCCAAAAGTCCGAATGTTTTTCCATGTTTTCGACATTTTGTATCCAAATCGTAGCAAATTGTAACGAAATTAACTAGCAAAGTCCTCATAACAGAGTCCTCTTTAAATTTTCCGACCTTGACAGCTACTTTGACAGCTGTCAAAGTCTCCATCTCTTTTCACCAGGCTCTCTCACAAATCGCCCCGGTTCCCAGGGGGGGTTACGTTTTCCTTCTCCCTCCACTCTTCTCCTCCAGCACAGTTCTTGTAGTTTCCCATTGTGGAATTCTTAATTTTTGTCAGACGCTTCTTTCTAGACCTTGGTTACCCAGTCCTTGTTTTAAAATGTTTACAGTAGGGAGGGGGACTGACTTCCTTTTTGGATCCTCCCCCCCCGCTCGTGCCAAATCCGAAAAAAGATTCCTTTTTTCCTCCTTTTAAACCCGGTTTCCAAATTACTCACGGGTTGTTGTTAAAAGTCCGAATTTTCAATGGAAGAAGTCAGCGCTCTCCGCCGGATGGCATGCGGCTTCGCTCGGCAGGGAAAGCAGAGGACTCAAAGCACCACGCCACTCCCCGGCACCCGATCCGTAGCCTTTAAAAAGGCTCCTTCACGAGTCGGGAGGGCGCTAACGGTACCAGCCGAGTCACCCATGTCCACGGGCTCCGTGCCCGTGGTTTTTAAGGGTCCCTGCGTCACCGGCGCGGTAGGACCCAGCCCCTGCCGAGCAGGCTCCCTCCGGAGCTCGGAGGGAGTCCGCCATTCGGCGATGGCGCCAACCCGGAAGTCTCTGTTGTCGAATGGATAACTGGTCTGTCCCATGTTTGTCATTAACAGATGAAATAAAGGGTCACCAAATGGTAAATAAATATCTAGTTTCTCTTTGCTTTGCTTCCCCTTCCTTTTTAGATGCCGTTTGCAACATTCATTTGTTTTAACTGTGTTAACTGGGGGCAGGGTTACAACAACAACAACAACAACAACAACAACAACAACAACAACAACAACAATTTATTTTTTATACTGTGTCCATCTGGCTGGGTTTCCCCAGCCACTCTGGGTGGCTCCCAACAAAATATTAAAAACACAATAAAACATCAAACATTAAAAACTTCCCTAAACAGGGCTGCCTTCATATGTCTTCCAAAAGTCAGAGAGTTGTTTATTTCCTTGACATCTGATGGGAGGGCGTTCTACAGGGCGGGTGCCACTACCGAGAAGGCCCTCTGCCTGGTTTCCTGTAACCTTACTTCTCGCAATGAGGGAACCACCAGAAGGCCCTCGGCGCTGGAGCTCAGTTTCTAGGCTGAACGATGGGGGTGGAGAGGCTCCTTCAGGTTATTGCTACTGCTTGTTACTACGGTATGGTGTGTGTGTGTGTGTGTGTGTGTGTGTGTGTGTGTGTTTATATTTCAAATTCAGGTAATCATTGGATGAAGGGCAGTATTTAAATTTAATAAATAAAAATAAATAAATAATACATCTTCATATTAGATTGCTGCACACCAGCCTAATCTCCAAGTGGCGCAAAATTCCAGCGGTTTGAGGCGCTTACCCAAGGTTTGAGTATTCTTTTGGGAATGAGGCATAGCAGAGGCTGTGGTGTCTTTGTGATATATGGTTTATTTATATAGATATACAACCTGAGCCGGCGATGGAGAGGTTCACAGCATTAACACCCCATGAGGGTCTTGTTTCTCCCAGAGCTGCAGCCTTAGGTTCAAGCAGAGATCTAGCATGCCTGCTCCCAACTCTGCTTGCTATTATGATTCTAGGCCACATCACTGCCACTTTATAGAGTTGAAAGTCTCACACAGAGCCCCTTTCCTTTGTTCTCCTTAATGGCCCATCACCCAGGCTATCGCTTCAACAGGAAGTTAGCCTGGCTTAAATTGTAATGCTTGTTGCAACCCTTCTTGCATTGCAGAGGCTTGAACTAGATGGTGCGTGGGATCCCTTCCAACTCTACAGTTATATGATTCTATGATTCCTGGGACTTCATGGTGAAGGCTGGGTGATTTGGAAAGAAGATAAAGTCCCTGCCAGAAAAGAATACCAGATTAAGTTGACGGATTATGCCGAAATGGCTAAAATGACTGGAAGAATCAGAAATCAGGAAGACCAAAATTTTAATAAGGAATGGGGAAAATTTATAATTTATCTTCAAAACCATCGTAAACAGCTAAAATCTTTAGTAGCATTGGAATATCACTTGTAGTTTAATGGTGACTTTTGGACACAATGGAGATGTAAAAGATCTGGATCATCATAAAAGATGCAGGAGGAAATGATTAATAATAGGACCCACAAAGGGGAGGAGGGGAGGCCAAGAGGGTCCTTGGAATCTTATTTTTATGTTGTATGTTGGATATGTGATTGTAAAATTCTGATCTGAAAAACCAAAGTATTATTATTATTATTTTTAAAAAAGAAAGTTGGGTAAGAAATGTAATGAACAATAGCAATGTCCATCATTCCCCCCTCCCAATAATTTTATTTTAAGTTTTAATAGCAGACAGGTAAGGGGGAAGGGGGAAGAAATAAAATAAAGATCATTTTAAAGATAACAATATGTTGTCACACAATCGCCCACAGGATACAGCTATGCGGTCTACTGAGTCAACAGCAAAACATACCAAGTTTAAAAAGGACGTGTGGTCTATGATTGTAGTCACACACCCATCATGTCATGTCATAAGACTTGGTTCGGCTGGCATATTGTTTGGGC